AATCGTAATTATAGGGACCGTAATTATTAGGGGGGTCGACTGTATTCACACTTATTTGTATGCAAAATCTTAAATATATATGCAGCCAAGTACAATTTGAATGAAGATATGTAAAAGAGAAATGGATCTTCACTCATTCTCATAAAAGTGAAGAGGAAGATTTTCAGGGCATTTAATAGAGTGCAATAGAAAGGTGAGACTATAGGTACGACTGTAGTCTGTCAATGGTGAACCTGCGAGACAGAAAAAAATAAGATAGTCCCAACGAGTTCCGGCTTTTGCAGGTTTTAGTTGCTCTAACGAAGTGACCAATTAAGTAGTAAAGTGTATTCCTATACAAACTCTCCATTTCGCAAATGAACACAGAACGAATTTCTCAACTCGTTCAATCCACTGTTTTTTTCACCAGAGATGGATTTTACATTTTTTCGCCCCAAGCTATAACTTTATCGCCCCTCTTAAGTAATAATGTACCTTGTTAACAGGGCCATCGAGAAGGAAAGCTGGGAAATTTTTCCCTAGCCCGGGGAAAAATTGAGGGGCCATACTGATACGAAACTTTATAAAATTAATGGTTTTTTGCAAACAGGAAATAAAACCTTTAAGATAGTTTTTTTAAGACGTTATTGCCCTGAGCTTATATGAAAGCTTTCGTTTTAATATTTTTTTTGATATTTTGAAGAATAAAATAAAGAATTTATTTAAATTATTAATTCTAGAATTATTAGACATATCTGAAGTCAAGAATAATCTGAAGAGTGTAACTGGAAATGATATGTTGATAGATATCAGGAGACATGCTTGTGTATTCAAACTTATGTATTCGTCAAAGATTTTTAAATAATTAATTTAAAATTTATAATAATAATAAAGTACAAATAAAACATAATTTATGTTAGATATTTACTTTTGTTAATGTGTAATTACTCTAATTACGTGAATCACTGAAACGTTATTCAGAAAAAGTCAACTTGTATTTACAGATTGTTTAAGATAACCGTTAAAAATCTACATCTGTGTTCATTAATTAAGATCATAACCCGAATACATTCTACACATTATAAACAGACAATTAAACACTACTAAAATATCTACTTCAGATATATTCTGCAGAATATCCATAGAGAATCAGGAAAATTTTGTGATATCTAAAGTTTTTCTACACATTACTTTTCATTGAGTACTAATGTAGCTCCATGTCACCCTATTAAAAATATTTGAAATCATTTCCTAATTAGTGGTAATGCTTTTAAATGATATGAGTTGATGCCAATTATCAGGAAACGATATTAAATGAAAACAAATGGCNCGAAATTTTCCTCCGCCCCGGGCGGCTGACACCCACGGTACGCCACTGGTTAGTTTAGAGTATTTTAAATTTTCGAAGCTATTTTATAAAGTTTATATTTGTACTGTACTAGAGTTCGTAATTATTTATTTTATTAGTAACTATCAGATACGTCCAGCATTGTCCAGCCAAACAGTAAAATAGCTAAACGTTAACATGAAAACCATATTATAAATTTGTAAAAAAATCGGTTTAAGAAAGAGTTTTTAATTTACTCTTTTATCTTATCTAAAGATAATCTTTTATTTTTAGAAATTATATTTTTAGAAATTTCACCGATTCCATTGTTTTATATTTTTTATTGATCAACAATTATAAATTTAGTTATTTTAGTCTACCATTGTTATGTTTATCACGGAGTGTCGAGAAGATCAAATCAAGGGAAGAGTGAGTGGGGTGTCCGGATTTCATAAAAGTCTATATTTTCCTCAGAGTCAGAGTTAAACAAGAATAATTTGAAGCAGATCGACCAAAAACCTAAAAACAGAGAGTCAAACATTCTATTGACCGTGTCTAAAAGTAAACAAAGCCTGAGGCAAGCCACGTGATTGGACCTCCTTCAACTTCCGGTAGAACGCGGAAGTTGTGTTAATAGTCGATGCGAAAAACATCTTGTAAACATAATCTTTTATAATCTGCGCTGAAATGACATCAAGAAGTTCATGTTGTGTAGCAGTAGGCTGCAGCATGCGGTCTGGGACGAATTTATCATCCAAAATTAAGATGTTTCGCTTCCCAAAACAAGAACCTTAGCGCCAGTGGCGTAGCGTGGGTGTCAGCCGCCCGGGGCGGAGGAAAATTTCGCCTCCCCTTATTTAGGTATCTCAATTTAAGACTAAAATTCAGTTTCGTCACAGAACAAGTAGTGAAAAATTCCGTGCTAATGTTGCCACTTTTTTAAAATCACTGACCCGGATGGCAGGTGAGGTTGTTCGAACAGAAGTTCGTGACGCATGCGTATGTCATTTTGCAATGCGAAGAATAATTTGCAGTGCATGCTGGTTCTAAATCAGTTACAGTTAGCAACTAGGGAGACTTGGATAGGAGTAACGCAAGTGACCTAGCTCTATTGGATATTGAAGATGTATATATATATATATATATACGAATAAATCGTACAAGCAAAAAAAGAAAACAATAAATAAATAAAAAAAAAGGTCGACAAATCGCGCGGGACATTCCCGGACTGTCCGGATGGTATTCCGTGCTCATTTCAATCGGTCCCAATCGTAGGTGCATGAAAATATGAAATAAAATGGTTCAAATTCATACAAGATATTATTATTATTTATTGTGAAATTTTTCCGCCCCCTAAAGAGTGCCGCCTCCACTACGCTACGCTACTACGTCAGGAACTTCTGTTCAAACAAACCTCATCTGCCGTCCGGTTCAGCGATTTTAAAAAGATGGCAACACTAGCACGGAATTTTTCATTACTTATTCTGTGACGAAACTGAATTTTAGTCTTTTAAATTGAGATACCTAAATAAGGGGGCGAAATTTTCCTCTGCCCCGGGCGGCTGACACCCACGCTATGCTACTGGCCATAGTTTACTTTTTTTTCAACAGAACCATTAACTCGTGCAAATGATTTGTGTTCTTAATGTGTTGTTATATTCATGTTGGTTACAGAAAATTTTACAATATTTGTAACTTGAAGTTTGTTCTGTAGAGGGTATAAAGCCTGAAATGTTAAGGATCCGGACTTCATAGCCTAAAAGTTCAAGTCCTAACAGCTCATTACCAACCAATTACATTAAGGATTTTGATAAAATATACTGGATAATATCCTCGTCTACCTGCTGTTTTCTGAAGAAGTGTTAGAAGGGAATAGATAAATACGATATTTAATTTTACTAAATTTACATATCGGTGGTTTAATGTAAAACATTCATTTACCTTTGAAACGTATAGCCGCAGCCTTTAATTAATTTATTATTACATACGAACGCCACACTTTTTAGAGTAATACAAGCCAAGTACCTCCGGTAACACGACGGACAAATTGTACTAGAGAGAAGTTGAGCCTCAATACGACGGTTGGATTGTCGCCTATCTCTCTGGGGAACTCGGGATACAAAATCCCCAAGAAATTCTAGGAAAATAGGCTACCTATTGTAGGCCTGACCCATAATAGAATCGCTGCAAAGCAAGGTCTATATAAGAAGGTCAGGACACGCGTGACCTACTTTTCGAGCCGCCATTTTGGGGTTTTTTGAGTCGCATGTTTTAAGCAAACTCGTACGAGCAGTCAGTTTTATACGACATTAATTAAACTAAAATTGCATAAATCCAGTGATTTCCAGTCAAAAATATAATAATAATTTCGGATGATTACGCAACCCCAATTTTATGTAACTTTTTCATCAAATAGTTTAAAAGAAATAATCATCCATGTCATTCGCTCTCGCGATTGAAATTAAATAGGTGCTAAAACTGATGCAATTATGTATATAGGCACCTCGTAAAGCGAAGCAATAACATCAAAAAATTTAAAGTATAATAAAGAATATAATAATATAATATAACAAATTTTTAATTATTTTTTTAAAGCACGATTGGTTATAAAATTAAGATGAAATTCAATAGTACTATTAATAAATGTCAATGTAATGCTTATCTTATAATAAGTAATAGATGTGTAGATATAGTTTTAATTTATAAATAGCTTTCAAAAAATTCCAAAAATAAAATTTTAAATTAAATTATTTGACAATAAACTGACAAATAATACTTGAATAAAATACAATGTATTCAAACAAAATATGAATATTTGTTGCCAGCAAAATAATACTAAAATTTTCTTTTCTACAATTAAATAGTCAATTTTACTTTAAATAAAACAAAAAAATATCAATTTAATGTTGTTTGCGCATAATTTTTTGTACACGTTCTGCATTAATAATAAAATTTAAAGTTTACTGCTAAAAACTAGTGTAAAAATATTAAATCATTATACTTTAAATCGATACCAGAAAATTGTATCAAATGCACAATTCAGCTAAATTATTTTTACTAGTATTTTGAAAATGGATGTACGAACACAGAAGCATTTTAAACGCATCCGATCCTTACATTTTTTCTTTCCGGAAAAAACAATCTATGTTATTCAAATAAAATCTGTTTTTAAATGTTCGGGATAAAAGTTACGAATGATCGGTGGCAAATAATTATTGTTATGCAAATGAAGAAAATTAAATATAAATAAAATCAATTAAATATTATAGAATCTCTAGATTATAAGAATTAGATATATTTAGATTTCCATCACTTCTTTTAAAATAAAAATTCTAACAATAAAATTAATGTAAATTTTATTTAAATTGAATTAAGTGTAAATTACTATTAAACTAAATTTTTTGCTATGTTTTATTAATAAATATTGAGAATATAAGTCAATACCATCGCCATAATTTTATTTTTAAATACAATATGATCGTATTAAAACATACGTTTAATTATTTTATTATCAGATATAAAACAAATGTAATTTTTTCATTTTTCTATCTGGATTGCCGATATCATTTATAAATTTCCATGTATAGTTCGTTCGTGGACACGAAGAATATCCACTCGTTTAAACCACTTGTTACAAACTTTACACATATAAACTCTTCGAACTGCATCGTGAATCATCCGTTGATGTCTGCGCTACATCTTGCTTTCCTCTGCTTATTTGCAGGAAATCTAAGCAATCGAACGTCTGTAGATTTACTTTTACAATTTGGTACCACACAATAACGCAATGTTTAAAGGTTTGAGTACTTATATATGTAATAATAGTCGACTCACGCGGAAACTACGTGTGGAGTATAGTCTATCGATAAGTCCCAAAATGGCCGCTGCCGCGTAGAATCACGGGAGCGTGTCCTGACCTTCTTATATAGACCTTGCTGCAAAGAGGCGCTATTAGTGCCCCCGAGCGGGAAAGTTTCAGAAGAAAGATACCACAGAACCTCCAGTCTCGTAATACTTCTTTACTGTATGGTATTTTTATTTTTTACTGTATCTCATGTCTAGATAAATAGAGATTCTTAAGAAACTTTACCTCTGATTGAAATAATTTTTATTTAAAAAAAACAAAATAAAATTCTAATAAATACAAATAAAAGATTTCCATTCCGTTTACACGTAATATTTAGGTACAAACATCTAAATAAAAATAAAACATTATTATTATTATTATTTATATAGTTAATTTTGATTGATTAATATATTTCATTTTCTTAAACTGCTCTTTTTAGATCCACTTAATTTTTTTACAAATATTATTATTTGTGAAAGCTGGCAACACTTGTGAGCTGTTCGCCATTCGCTTGTGACGTATTTCAAATCAACACAAGGTTTACAAAGGTATTTATTTTATTAAAATTAACAATTGAAATTACTTTTAATTTAGATTTAAAAATAAACTGTGATTTATTTATGTAATACAATTCTCAAAAATAATGAATGTACTATAATTTATTATTGTGTTGTGTCTCTTTGATATTTGTCTTATTGATGAGACAATGAGGGAATTAAGCCATAAATTAATCACTTTCGTGTTTAATATTTCCATTTTAATGTTTTTTAAAATGTTACATAAGACAAGATATATTTATTAATGGTTAGGTAATATTAAATAAGCCATAAATATTACTATTAGTAAAGTTTGTCTTCAAATAAAGGAAGATCAGAGTTTATACTTAAACCTTTTTGAGGAAGCATTGTGATGAAATAAAGCATTTTGGAAATTAATTTGGATATCTTACAGTATAATTGCAAGATATCCCTTGTTATATTGATTTTAAAAATTAACTAATTAAATTTCTATATTTAAAACTAGTATAGTCAGTCCTTTCAGATTTTCATCTTCAGGTTTTACATACATTATAAATTATGAAAAGTTAACATTTATGATCTGAACTTTGAGTATACAGTGCAACTGAAAGTCTGAATGAGGCAGTTGGGATGTTATTGGAGCTGTAAACCATGCCAGTAGGAGTAAAAAATGTTGAATTGACAGTCTGTGTGATCCTTTGTGAGGTATAGTCTCCCAAAATCAGTCTAACTGGAATTTTGAAGGCCCACACTCAAAAATATGATAAAATTTAAAAGGAATTCAGAATCACAAATTTTACCAAAATTTCAGATAGGTTGACTTCACTGTATCTTGTAGACCATCAATTTCTTTGACTTATTTTATTCCTAGGGACATGAATTACGGCTCTGATGAGGTTCAAACCACCTCGTTCGGAAATGCAGTTTTATTGAGTAGTTTGTTAGTGTGGCAACATCATATAAATTTGACCAATGTGGCATACTCTTCCCATTTTATTCTTTTAAATCATAGCTTTTTGTACAAGAAAATCTTGATTGTAATTTTGTGCAAAAACTGCAACCAAATGTTTTACTTTTTTACTTCTGTCATGAACTATTTAATAGCAAATAATTATGATGTAATATCTTTGTTATAATAGAAAATTATTTGGTTCTCTTGTTCTGTTTTAGTTTTCTTTTGTTCTAAATAACTTTTTATAATTGAAATACTAAATCTTTATTGTGTTTACAGTTTTTCAAAATATGAATCAAGCAATTCTAGTAAAGTTTAAAAACACATTATTATAGAAATAGATAAATAAATAAAACTCACGCCAAAATTGTATAGCCTTCTTGATAAAAAGCACTGAGTTCAGCGTTAATACGATTTTTCTTGTATCGCAAGTACTTTCGACGAGTATTATATCGTCGTCTTCAGGCGAAAAAAGAACAAAATTTGAATTAGAACGTGCAGAATGTTCCAAGTAGAAAACGGAAAATTTTTCTTGTCAATTTCTAAATTATAGCGTTCGGTAATTCCGTTGGTCACGTGCAACAAGCTTTTGCTGGAGTTCGAAATATTTTAAATCCACACGACTAGCAGCGCATGCGTTGAGGAGCGATCGTACTAATTGTGCGACTCTTGGCGCTTTTTGCTATTTAAACGCTGGTATAAAGTAACCCATATTTCGGGCAAGTCGAGTGTGGGGACGTTGCATGCGTCTGTGGTCATTGTAAGGAGCGCTTCCCAAATAAATGTAATTCTTCTGTTGTTACAGCTCCTGAGCAACGCTGTTTTTGACCATAACGGGTTATAGCCCTGCTGTAGAACTTTTCTGGCGAGCTCTGTGGTCTGTCTTCCTTTGTTTATATCATCTTGATGTTCTGCGATACGGCAAGCGAGCATTCTTGTCGTTGCCCCTATATACTTCTCAATTGTCCCCGTTATTGGATTTTCCAGTTGCACTGCGTATATTCCCGATTTTTCTAAAACGTCGACTTTATCCCGATCATTGCATATACTCCTGCGTAGGTTGGGTAGGGTAGTTAAAGGAAGAGTAAAGCTGTATCGCCGGAAAATACGGCTAATAAGTATGGACGGTGCTCCTAGGTACGGCAGTGCTGATTGTACTCTAGACATTTCTTTTTTGCTATGTAGTGTGGTAAACGGGAAAAGGGAATCTTTTACCCTACGTAGTACATGCGTAAATTTGGCACTTGTGAATCCAGCGTGATGTACTGCCGTTCTTACGATTTCCAGTTCGACTTTTATTAGAGCTTGCGATGAGGGAAGTAGCATCGCTCTTCTGATGAGAGCCGCTATGGCGGAATTGACATACCGCGATGGTTGAAATGCATCAGCTGGAATGATATAGGGGACTATGTTAGACTTATGATGCACCGTAAACTGCGGCCCTTCTATTGATTTCTGTATCCGCATATCCAAAAATGTTATAGATCGATCTTGCTCCTTTTCCCATGTGAAATTGATGGTGGAATGCACGCTTGAAAGTTGCTGCATAAATTGGATAAACTCCTCTTCTGAATTTTCCCATATTAGTAGAATGTCATCTACATAGCGCAAGTATAGTGATGGGTAGCACATAGCAAGCGGAACTTTGAAAATTTTTTGTTCCACGTCCCTCATAATGAGCTCGGCTAATACTGCTGAGAGAGGAGAGCCCATGGGGACTCCTTGCTTCTGTAAATATATTTTTTGGTTGAAGCGGAAATAGTTGTTTTCAGTGATAAAGATCAACGCTTCACGAATGTCTTGCACTTGTTGCACTGTAAAACCTTTTTCGAGGAGCATAGCGTTGGCTAGCATTACAGCTTCAAATACAGGAACGGATGGGTACAGGGATATCACGTCCATTTTGTAGAACATGCTGCTATTGCCTTGTGCTTTTGCCATGTTGGAACTAATGATTGTTTTTCTTCTCAGTGCTTTTTATCAAGAAGGCAACACATTATTATTTGAAATTTCAGAAGAAACTAAAACACTTGAACCTGTATATTTCAAATTTCATGGGAACAAGAAAAAATTTGAGATAAATTTTGAGGTATAGAGGTTCCTACACAGTAAATAGTAATATGTTTGACTGAAGGTATATACTGTACTTGCTATTGTAATTTATTAATACAATAGCAAGCGCAGTATATACCTTATTATATATATTTTTGTATACCATAACAGAAATAATTTGTAAATAGTTTCTGATGCCTGACTTTCTTCAATCAATAAGATGCAAATCAAACTTGTGACCATAGAAAAGTAGCATTAACTGCAACTATTATATTGCAAGAGCTGTTTCTCAACTACAATTTATGCTAACAAAAATGCTAAGCTTTGAATTTATAATTGACACTTCAGTTTATAAATTGAGATAGATATGTTTTGGAAGAAAATTATTTGAGATAAACAAGGAAAATATATAGAATTTAGGCTGAAAATACAGGAAGAAAAATAACTTTTCAGACAAACTGTATTCACAACTCTCACATACATTTTACAGATTTATACTAAACAGTCTCAATTTCAATTAGAGATAGTGAAAATTTCTATTGTATGTGTGCTGGAATCGCTTTCAACTAATGTAGCCCAGATACATAATTCTATAACTCATAAGTAGGTATGTTGTGAGGATTGAAATTATTCCATATAATACGTGAAACATTACCAGTATAATAAAAAGTAGTTGGGCTTACATTAGTTGAAAATGATTCACCCATATATATGAATTTTGTGCATTTAATTTCTGTTTGACAGTATTGCAGACCTGAAATAATGCATCATATAATCAGTACACTATGTTGTACTGGTTAAATGATGCCATCTGATGCTTTATATACAAACCTCTCTGCACAATCTCCTATGGCATGTTACTATTGAAAAACCCTGTATACATATATCATAAGCTTTTAATATGAAGCTAAAATTAGCGATATTTGCCTGATGCAATCATTCACTTTTATAACCACTTAAAAGGGGGTTTTTCAGACAAATAAATCAAAATGTCCTTCAAATCCAACGTTAACCTGAGTTCAAGAATTAATTCTTGAACTCAGGTTAACGTTGGATTTGAAGGACATAACATTTCGATTTATTCATTAGAAAAATCCCTTATAAGTGGTTATAAAAGTGAATTATAAGCTTTACTTTTAGATCTCTTAAAAGTCTTTCTTCTGTACAGTTTAAAAAATTATTTCAAAATTTTCTTACATTTTCTTTTTCAGCCAATAAAACAATGTTGTTTAAATTTTATAATACTGTAATTATGCCATTATACTTGGGCTTACATTATACTGAATAGAAGGTAATCAAAATATAATTATTAAAAAAAAATTTTTTTAATTCAAATTTATATAAACTTGCAAGTATTTGATGGCTGTTTGCTTTACTTTATGCACAGTAGATATTATTTTATTAAAATGTCACACTTTTTATTTAATCAATGAATATTCATAAAATTGAATTTGAATAAAAGTACATTTGCACGTATATAAATTATTATTGTGAAAGTAGATTTTATTATATAATTTCTTGCATATAACCTGCAGAAATTAATGGAAAACATAGTCTATACCTGCTTTCAAATTGACTTTGAAGACAGATAATGTGGATAATAGATATGAAAAAGTTTTAAAATGTATTATTAATATGTTTAAATTTTATTGTGTTCAGTTTCAAGTTAGCTTTTGATTCCATCAACAGTAATTTATATATTACAGATGATTATACCCATTCGTTGTTTTACTTGTGGAAAAGTTATCGGTAATAAATGGGAAGCGTACCTTGGGCTTTTACAAGCAGAATATACAGAGGGGTAAGAGACTTTATTCATCAAAATGATGATTTTAATGTGTGTTAAAAAACTTTTACTTTGATAATTGAGTAATGGTGATATTTTTCAATGCGTAAGATGAAAAAATTTTATTTATTTCTTTCAGAGATGCTCTGGACGCCTTGGGATTAAAACGATACTGTTGCCGAAGAATGCTTCTTGGTCACGTAGATTTAATTGAGAAATTGCTTAATTATGCTCCACTAGAAAAATAATTCTGCATGTTTCTGTATATTTTCTTTTATGAATTAACTTATAATAAATTTTATAAGTAAAATCTAGTATCGAAAGGATTTTTTATTAGATAATATGCAAACAAGATAGTCCACAACAATTTGTAATTAGATAAGAACATTTCAAAGAACATATATACACGTTAAATACTAGCTAACAACTATTAAGTAAGCACGTCAACATTTTTTAATTACAGTGAAATACTTCAGGTAAGCTTAGCAAAATAACTTTTATATGTGGTTTAAGCATAAGATGAAACATTCACTAATTCTTTATAAATGGCATGTTTACTTTTACAATATAACAACTTTGCTAATGACACTTTTGGATTTTAATCTAAATTTAAAGCATTGACAAAATTCAACATGTATATTTTGTATATTATTACTTGTAAACAGCAAAATATTTTGTTGAATTTATAATTTATTTGAGTTGACTTAGTGTTCAGTATGGCCTTTTCATAATTGTCTCCATTAAAAAGTAATACAAAAATAGAGGTTAGGATACAAAAATTGCTTATTCTATATTGATGATATCTTTTATAGTATTTCTTAAAAGAATAAATAGGGATATTGGCAAAAAGGTTTAGAACACATTATTAATGTTACATCATAGCATAATTTTCTTGGTGGTTTTTAAATCTGTTAATTTTAGATAATACTTTGTACCAAATAATAAAACGCACAAAAATTTAGATACAGGTAACCCCCGTAGTACACGGTAGTTACATTCCAAAAAATTGCTGTGTTATGCGAAACAAAGAACTAATACGAAAAGGAGGGTTAGGTTCCAAAAATTAAGAAACATGCTAGTATATTTTCATAATTAAGATAAATATCTTCATTAAAATTTTTTTAAGTGATACATATTAATATAAATTAAACAATATTTTCTTTGTCATCACTAAAAACACTATTAATTAACCGAGAGCGTTTTCTTTTTGGCAAGTTATCCTTATCCTCTGAGCATTTTTCTGCATTATCTTCAGATCCATACTTTACGTTTTGCAAAATGTATGTAATTTTAGATTGCTTGCTTCTAGTTAAAAGGTCTTTATAAATTTCCTTACATGGTGCTAAGCACTTATGAAGAATAAAGCAAGTATGGAATAAGGGAAAAACATTCGGCAACATCAGAAGCAGAAGCGTCGCGATCTGGCAACATTGAAACAAGTTTCGAGAAGGACCATCTGTATCGACAGAAGGCGAGAAGAGAAAATTTACATACTTAAGTACTAATAGTTCACGAAAATTATTATTTTCGTGAACTATTATTACTTAAGTATGTAAAAATTTATTACATTTCCTGTTGTACGAGGGTTTTACCCAATTCTCGAACCGTGTCAGAGTGAATCCGTGCTATAAAAGTACCGTATTATACGGGGGATGGTACCAATTCTTGAACCGTGTTAGGCCAGGAACACATGCGTATAATTGTGTGGCAGAAAACTGAATCAGAAATCAGCTTTCAGTTCAGTTTCTGTTTTACGCTTTTATGCCAGAACACACATACGTAAAAATTCTGGACGAATAGGAAACGCCACTGTCACAAACAGCGCTACATTTTATTAATTTTTTTCTCTCCTATATCTATCCCTTTGTACTTTCCATTTTTTCTCAGCTTCCTCTGCTATAATATAGAAAATTTAATTAATAGACTCGTATTCCGAATTCAAATAAAGAATGTGTGATCTAAATACTAGGCCTATATATCGATTCTACTAGACCTAACTGTTATTTGAAATTTTGCACCTATAGCCATCCATAAACGTTGTTTAAATATAGTGTCTTTATACTTGATACTGAAGTGGTCGAACGGATTCAATAAACTCCTCTATTTCATTTATTTTTCGTTTTTTCGAGACTGTCACAATTGTAGGGTTAACCCTCATTGCCGCCATTGTTAGAATAAAAACCACGTCACAGAAAACTTGACGTCACAGAAAAGACTTCTCTTTATTGGAGGTATTTTGGCGTAAAAATTTTTCGGCGTAGAAAGTATAGACATACATGCTCTACTCTATTTTCAGTTCTGTTTCAGCCAAAATTTCAGAAAAATTTTTACGTTTTCTGTTTTATTCTAGATTTTAAGCCGAATTTTACGCATGTGTGTTCCTGGCCTTAGAGCGAATCCGTGCTATAGAAGTGCCGTGTTATACGGGGGTTACCTGTATTTTAAACGACAGTGATTTGGTTTCTGTATCGCTCTCTGTTCGTCCAAATAAATTTCTATTACAGCATCATAAACTTTATAACTCAATGGTTTTTTTTTAAACTCTCCATCCTGTGGGCACTAAGAGGGTCTCTTTTAGCAAGCCCGTTAGGGGTTCGGCCAGGCCTACCATGGAACGGTGCCCGACATAACCCGACGGACCACCGGGATCGAAAAATCCCCAGGAATTTTTCGATCCCGGGTTCCTCCAGCAGCGGTTGGCTGCCACCTTGACTATTGGGCCATCCGGTCGTCCTGTGAAATACTGTTTAAACATTGTGATCAAGTGATTTATTCGGAATTATTCATTCAAAAATGATTATATTGTTAACAAGGAGAGAGCAGACGTTCGTGTTTCTGATTCAAACGAAACTGTGAGTACGTAGCCTTTAATTAAACAAACAGCTCGTCCAAATAACAAGATCCACTTCTCACGCATTTCCCAAAAGTGGACCTCTGAAAATTTATTGTTTAGCTTTTAAGTCCGAAAGTTCCAGCTCTGTTCATTGAGAATCGAATGGATAACTCTTTTACGTTGTTAAATAAAATTTTTATTTCTTCATATTTAAGATATGATGGTATTGTGATATTTGAAGTGTAACAAACGTGAGTGCATGAGGAAATTGCCCATAATGTTAACAAAAAATAAAACGATGCGATTATGCTACCCTATTTTCATATCACTTGTCTTTTTCGTCTATGTGCAGTAACGTGAGAACATAGAGCGTAAAATATGTGAAAATGGAGATCCGAACGTTTGATCCTCCTCTTCGTAACATGCTTAAAATGTTAATTTTGCTTTCCAGGCGTCAAACTGATAAGGCTACCAGTGCCTGCATTAATTAGTAAATAAAACTGGTGGCGATAATTAATTTGAAAGACGAAAAAAATTTAAAACTGGTGAATGGTTGATGTTTTTAAATTTTCCAGAGCGACCCCTTCAACTGTTAGCATCAAGAGGAAGTTCAGGTAAAATATTTTCATCAAACAATGGTAATTTTAAAACTTATCAAAATTTGAGCCTGTTACAAGTGAACATTTAAGAAGGTCGAGAACCAGGACCGGTCCTGGTTCTCGACCTTCATATAGGTTCATATAGATCTTCATCTAGGCCTAGTTCATATAGGCGAACTAGGTCTAGATATTAGTAATGCGCTTGAATTCGGGGGCGGCATGGCGAAAGTACGTGCGTAAATTACAATAAATTATGAAAAAATAAATGTTTTTTGGTCACAATCCTTTCTCACGTGTTGACCCGTGTGTCGCCATTTTGAAAGTAGCGCCGATCGCGATGTCGTGTGCTGCATATTAAATCGTGATTAACGGTCTTCAAATTAATAATAAATTATTATTTAAGAATAACAAAACATATCAAATACAATTAAAACATTTTATTTCACATCTTTTCATAAAAATTACTAAATATTTATTCTTTAAATACGAGTCGATTTTTTTGCGGATTAATTTTGTAGCATTGTAAGATTGAATCGGTTACAATGGCGGCCTCCGTAACGCTGACACTCAGCGTGGACAAAACATTAAAATCTGAATTTTAGGAAAAATGGAAAAATAATATCGTTTTATAAAAAAAAAAAAGTGTAATGACGTATCGTTACTGACAGCACATTTTTTATGAGATAATATATATAGGTACTATGCTATTTTATTACGTATTTGAATAAAACTTAGATACTCTATTTTACATTGGTGTTTTATATTGTTGCGAATTTTTTAAAATGGGGCGACGTCAAAGTCATTTGCCTAGGGCGCTGGGTTTGCTCGGGCTGGCAGTGTCCAGAACCCTCGCATTACTCAAAGATATACAAAATAAACCCTATTTTTCTACTGGGACAAAAGGTTCGAAAGACCATTGTTGTTATTATTAATGATTGTAAATATTATATCATAAACTACTCCGGATATTAACAAAATCAAGCGAATGTCTTTGATTATTCTATCAAGGTTCTGGATATTTATTCAAAGAACATTTCAGTAAGTTTTTGCCCCTGAAAATATAACTACCGGAGATGGTTTCACTGATTAATATTGCAAGGCTAAACATTGAAAATATGCGTAGACGGGGCTACGATATTTAAGTAAATGCGAAAGATGCCTATTCCGGTGTCCAAAGGCGAATTTGAAATCAAAATTCCGAAGATTCCCCACTCGTGTCATTCTAAATTTTGTCAATGATGCAGTTGAAGCTTCTGGAGAATCATTATTTTTTCACTGGTACAAGAAATTTTTGTATTTTTTCCAGTTCCACTAACAGAAAAAGTGTATTAAAAAGTATGTAACATCCTTAGCCTGAAAAGGTGTACAAAGTCTCATCGATGCATTAAAACCATTGAGATACAATTTAGGAAGCGCATATGATGAGCTAATAGAAATTCATTCGGATGAACAGAGAGGTAGAAATGCTCAAAAGTAAATCGCTAGCGTTTAAAATATCT